TTTTCAAAAGAACTATTGCCCAACCACTGTGCAAGTTACTTTATCAGTGACATAGTCAATTTTGACAAAAATGTATGTTTGCTTCACAACTTAAAAAAATCGAAAGAAAAGAGGGATGAAAGAAAGTTCCCCATTTCTCTAGTTTCTAGTGAGTATAGTATATTACCCCCGAGGGTACTTCTGACTCCCAGTATACTTCTTAAATATGAAACCTTAGCTCTCTGGTTTAACTAGTACATGAAACATACATTATTCATTAAACCTCAGAAGTTAGAAATAAAATATTAAACACATTTCTCAGCTTTCATTCATAGAAGCAAAGTTAAAAGGTTATACCATTAATGTGATATTGTTAGATCGTACACAATTAAAGGGATTGTTAACCTTTTTCAAAATAATTTCCTAATTTTTCATCAGGTTTCACAGTTATTTTTAGCAAGTTTTTTTTTCGATATTTTTGACCAACGATTAAGAAAAGTTATGTCGTGCAATTTATTAAATATAACAAAAAGACCGTTCAATTTATATTTAAAACTTTTTTTAAATTATGCATCAAGCGGCAAACTCGCTGCGGAAAATAAACTTTCACGCTTATAAACCTCTCTCTAATGAACATTTCCTTATGAGGTTGGTTGAGAGGAGAAGATGAAATGAAAATTTTTTATCTGCAATTATATGTTAAGACCTTTATTTTGGGTTTTTCCTTTAATACGAGTTATTTTCAATTGATTTCGCAAAAATGTTAAAGGGTACTCGTGTACATCTAGACGTCTCAACCCTGTAATTTTTTTAATTCACTATATCCATCCTGGTTAATTTTGCTGACCAGCAATTGTTAATCAGATGCTATATTAAACCGTTGAATGTTTTTATAATGTTTTCGCGTTATATTTCTTGTTTCTGTGGATAAGTCCTGCATTATGCATTTTAGTAAATACTGTTTTTCGGTGGTACCTTTAACAATACTCTCCATTATGTCTTTTCCCTTCTAGACCAAGTGTAGACTGTTGTCTAGTCCATATCATGCCAAAAGTGACTGTTTTGTACTTGTAAAGTTTACGGCCCAACATTTTTGTGTATCCCAGGTGTCCTCTTTCCCTGGTTAATATTTAAAAATCTCCGGAAGAAGGATGACCACGTAGAAATTAAAGATCTGATAGATATAGTCCGTAAAGCCCCCTCCCCCTCAATCGGGAAAAAACCCAAAACCAAAGCAAGTCTCTGTTCAAATTTATCTAAACTCTCTGACAAAGAAACAACAAACAGTAAAACGTTTTGCTAAGTGATAGATCAAATCCATAAATAACTTTGCAATAATCAATAGTTAATAGTTAATAGTTAATAGTTAATAGTTAATCAATGGCCTATTGTTTTGCACGTATATATATTAATGTTAAGAATATTATTGCATGTGGGTTCTTTACATTCTCTTTTTGTATTCTGATTTCTTTAATTAAAATCTACGCAATTGTATATGCGTCAATAAGGAAACTGGGAGCCCAAAACTATAAACAGAGCATCGTAATGAAACCCAGTATCGGAAACTGAATTTCTCGATTCCTTTTCAAAATGAAGCACAAGAAACTAGGTCTGTTTTCTATTTACTGTCTATCCAATCCCAATGTTGAAGGGTTTCCTAGAGAAAACATACGAGGTGTATTCAATAAGTTTTGCAAAAAAATGTAGAGGTTTTTCTAGAGGATACCGGATACATTTTTAGCAAGGTTGGCGCCAAGCAGATTGTTGTTGTGATGTAAGGAGTGTTCTCCTGAAGGTGGATTAGCTTCGTTGTCAC